TATTTTCAAAAATCATGTTTTTTATTATGTTATCATGTTTTTATTGTGTTTTATTGTGTTAGTTAACTAGTATTTTAAGATATTTTTTAGTTTTGCAAATGAATTCTTAATATATAAATAAATTAAAAAAATAATAATAATAAAGAAAAAAGATATATATATATATATTAGTGCTGTCAAATGATTATAATTGCATCCAAAATAAAAGTTTTTGTTTACATAATACATGTGTGTGTACTATGTATATTTATTATGTATGTATAAAAACGCACACGTACAGTATATATATTGAAAATATTTACATGTATATATTTATATTCATAAAATGTATATTATGTATAAATATATTTAATATATAAACTCTAAATTAATCAAATAAAGGAAAAACACACACACATCTATAGTGAATATTAAAGAAGAGATCCCGCTCTCTTGCTGTTGTACAGTGTGTGTGTGGGGTCGACCTCGCGCTGGTGTGAAAAATGAGAAATGTGACAGGTAATTACATCCAGTCTGTGACTTACTTGAGCAGTAATGTAAGAGGCCGGGCTGTATTGTGAGGACGGTTGCACCTAAAGGCCTCTGTTAGTCACAACAAGCAGCGATGGGCCTGTAACCCCTTCAGCTGTGACTGGATTCACACTTAAACAGCCTCAAGTGTCTTATCACTGTTAGAGCACGCCCACCTTCTGCCATTGGTCGAGCAAAGGCATAGCTCTGCCCCAAACTCATTCCATTGGTTGATTCAGTGATGCAGCATCTGCCTGGTTAGGATATATATTAATTTTGTTTTTATATCTATATTTATTTGGCCAATATACATTGCATTTTTAGCTCTAAGTGAAACAGAGAGTGTGTGGGAAATCGCTCTGTGCATTTCTTCATCTAAAGCTCAGGATAAATATCTGAGTCTATAGGGTGACGAGAAACTCCAGGGCTTCAGGAGAGACTGGATCGCTGGATTTGGAGGGATTTATGCAGGATTATGGGGAAATGCATATTTTGAGATGAGCTCTTAGTTCCTCTCACCTGTTTAAACTCTTTCAAAGACAGAAAGGCATTAGAGGGATAGTGGAAGCCCTCTTCATTTGTTTTCTCAGGTTGATAGTCTGTCTTTCTCTGTTGTAATAGCAGATTAAACCCATCAAGCGATCTTCACAGTAGGTGTCTTTATAACAGCCGATGAAGAGCTGCTATAAATCTCTCCGACACCTTCTGTTGTGGTGTGTTTTCTCTTCTCGCCCTGCTTTTTTGCCGTTTGTTGTGAAACATGAGAGCAGATGGAAGTCGATCTGTGACGCTGATTCAGTTCTCATTTGCAACTCGTCCACCTAAAAGTGTGGCTAGTCTCATTTGCATATTAGCATACTTTCTGGATTAGCCTTAAACTAAAACGTTCTAGTGCTTTCAAGCAAACTTCAAAGAAATGCAGAAACTGGGCTCATTTCTCTCGTTTAAAAAAAGAATACATTTGGTTTCAGATTGAGTAGCAGACTGTTAATGAGGACACACTGTGCTGCTGGAGTAGCTGCTGCATTGCTATATTTGAGGATTTGTACATTTCCAAGGCTTTTTTAATACTTAAAATGTCACTTCAGTGAATATATTACTCAACCTTTGCCTGCACAGATTGAATCCATTTGTGGTCAGTCGTTTTTGTGAAGATTTCTGAGTGCATAGATGTATTTAAAACAAATATAAGAACTAAATCAACAATTTCAAGTAAGGTTTCAGATGAACTTCTAATGTGTTCTGCCTTACAAGTCAAAACATTCAGAAAGGTTATGAGAAATTTTTGCCATTTTGTCAGTAAATTTCAAAAGGCAAAGAAAAAAAACATTCAATTTTTTTACCTTCACTCATTCATTTAGCCATTTACTTTCACTGCATTTTCAAAAGTTTGAATTAAGTCTCTTCTGCTCGCCAAGGCTGCATTTATTTGATCAAAAATGCAGTAAAAACAGTGAAATATTATTACAACTTAACATATGTTTTCCATGTGAATATGTGTTAAACTGTAATGTATTTCTGTGATGCGCAGCTGTATTTTCAGCATCATTACTCCAGTCTTCAGTGTCACATGATCTTCAGAAATCAGTATAATATGCTGATTTGCTGCTCAAGAAACATTTCTGATTATTATCAATGTTGAAAACAGTCGTGCTGCACAATATTTCTGTGGAAACCGTGACGCATTTTGTTTTTCAGGATTCACAGATGAATAGAAAGTTCAAAGGAACAGCATTTATTTGAAATATAAATTACATTATAAATGTCTTTACTGTCACTATTTTAATGCGTTCCTGCTGAATAAAATAGTTCATTTCTTAGTGAACCCAAACTTTTTTAAAGTTAGTGTCAGACCTGATCTCTCCATAATAAAGCATAGCTGTCCAGGTTTGTCTGGCCCTCTCTGCGATCAGTTTTCACAAACTCTAAGTGTTCCTGTAATATGATGATATTTATATTTCCTCCTTAGGTTGGTGTCAGTCAGTGTGATTTGATGTGATGTGTGTCGGGGCTGTGGTGTGTTTCTGCATCTGTGAGTGACTGTCTGCAGGCGTAACTTTGTCTGTGAGCCTGTCTCTCTCTTAGTCTCTCTTAATTCACTCCTCCACCGGAGACACAGACATGGAGATAGACCACAGGAGGCTAAGTGCCCTGTTTGGAGATTCAGTGGAGCATATGACCTTTAAAAGCAGTTCGGCAAGCAGCTCGCCACTCTTCTGGCAGCTTGTGTGTATGTGTGTGGATTTTCTTGGCTATACTTCTGGGACAAAACTGTCCCTTGACGTCAGCTAAATAACAAAAGACTTCCCTTTGGGGGACGTCCTCAAAGGTAAATTGACTCTTAAATGCGGTCAGTAGTGTTTTGTCATGAGAAAGGAAAACCACAAATTAGTTCTATTTGATATATGAACTATTTTTCCCAGAGAGCAGTGAAATCAAATGGAGATTTTTAAGATTTTTAATCTGTGCTCAGATTTCCAAATTTACAGTATGCAATCAAAAGTCAGAGATTAAACATTTCTCATTAAATGATCTAAACTGCTCTCCACCTTTATTTTATGCACTTCAAAAAAGATTTTCTTCCTCAGTATTTTTGTCTTGAGATATTCATGCTGTTCTTTCCAGGTTATATTTTACCCCAAAATGAAAGACAAAAAAAAAAAATACATAATGTATATAGAAAAATTAGCCTGTTTTAGGATCTTTAAAATATTTTATATTGTGACTTTTTATTACATTTATTTACACCCCCTCTGTTTTTGTTACTGTAATGTGGAGAAAACCTAATAATATACATATCATTTACATGCAGATCTGTTCGTGTCATATTTTACTCCAAAATAAAAACAGAAAAAAATGGATATAGAAAACTCTCAATCTTAGTTTTATACACTGCAAAAACAAACAAACAAAAAATTTCTCACTCAATATTTTTTTTCATGTTTTCCAAGTACAAATATCTTACCATTTTTAAGATGAGGAGCAAAATGACTTGTTTTCTGAAAAACGTATCAAAATTAAGCGAGTTTAAGCTTAAAATAAAAACAAATATCTGCCAGTGGGATCAGAAAAATAAGCTTCATTTAAAGATAAATCAGTATTGTTTTTCTTACCCCAATTTCAAATATTTGTTTCTTGTTTTAAGCAAAAAAAATCACTTAATTTTGATGCATTTCTCAAGAAATGCATTCAAGACTTAATGTCTGAAGTAATTTCGCATGTCCAGTGTAAGATGCGAAATGATCTCCCCATGAAATCAAAGTCCAGGACCTCTCACAAAAACAGATGGCATTCAACAAAACAGTAAATGTGTCTTGATTTAAGAATCTTTAGATATTTGAACTTGAAAACAAGACAAAAATACAGTGTAGTGTAGCTCTGTACTCTCACTGTATGTCAACAATTGTCTCATTGGTGTGTTTAGATTTTTCCTACACTGTAAAAAAAACTGTTTTATGTATTATATTTTAACTGCCTTACATTTTTTTTTTTATATAATCAAATTGGCTGTACAAGTCATTCAAACTTAAATGACATTAAACTGACTTAAAAAGCTGAGTTGAGTTGAATTGCATACAACTTAAAAAATGAAACTGAAATTGCTTAAATTATTTTGATGAGTTAAAGCAATGGAAAAACATGACTTATTGATCAGCTAATTTTTTTAATGATGTATGGGTAATTGTATGAGAAGCATCTTTGTGTGACGCTCCTCTCTCTCTGTCTCTCTGTCAGTGAGTGTCATAACGCCACAGACCGTATTAAGGTCCGTGTGTGGGATGAAGATGACGACATAAAGTCCAGGGTGAAGCAGCACTTTAAGAAGGAATCTGATGATTTTCTGGGTCAGACCATCATCGAGGTGCGCATGCTGAGCGGGGAGATGGACGTCTGGTATAATCTCGGTATGTTGTTATGATTCTTTAGGGTCTTCATGAAATGTCTGTAACACACTTTCGTTAAAATTCCTCAATTGTCGTGCAAAACAACACCCTTTTTACCTTGGTCTAAAACAGCTCTGTTCACAGCGACTCGTTTTGGTGCTTGTCTCTTTAAATGATAATGAGATCTGCTCACCCCGCCCCTCTCTTCAATGGGGCGTGTCAACAGAAGACACATGCATATATCCATATATGGCCTTATTCAAATAGCCAGCTATCTACACAGAAACCAGCTGCAGATTGAAACAGCTCAAGACTCAGACAGCACATAACAAACTGACTGCGTGTTTTCTCTACAGCTTTTCTGAGCTGGCAGACATGCCAGAAACCTAGCTAAATGTGACCCTGGAGCACAAAAGCAGTGTTAAGTCGCTGGGGTATATTTGTAGCAATAGCCAACAATACATTGTATGGGTCACAATTATACATTTCTCTTTTATGACAAAAATCATTAGGATATTAAGTAAAGATCATGTTCCATTACGATATTTTGTAAATGTCCTACCGTAAATATATCAAAACTTAATTTTTGATTAGTAATAAGCATTGCTAAGAACTTCATTTGAACAACTTTAAAGATGATTTTCTCTATATTTAGATTTTTTTGCACCCTCAGATTCCAGATTTTCAAATAGTTGCATCTCGGCCAAATATTGTCCGATCCTAACAAACCATACATCAATGGAAAGCTTATTTATTCAGCTTTCAGATGATCCATACATCTCAATTTCGAAAAAGTGACACTCCAGGGTCACATATGCAAAAAAAAAAAATCTACAAATGTTATCCAATGTCCCTTTTAAAGAACTTTTAAAGCCTTTTCCCCCACAGAATGACAACTAAATAAATAAACCGAAGTAAATACAGTAAATAAATAATGCAATTACAAAATGAGCCTACTTTAAGATCTTTAAAACATTTTAAATCATTTTAAATAAATTCAGTTATGCACATTGAACAGTTATTCACACTCTGATATATATGTAAACTTGTTGTTATTATTATTATTGTGTCTTATATCATTTATATGCATCCTTATTCTTCTCAAATAAATGTAACTTTTTATTCATCTTATTTGATTATTTTTTAATTCCTTTTATGTAAAACTTTGAATTTCCATTATGTATGAAATGCTATATAAATAAACTTGCATTGCCTTTATATCATGTATTATGTTATTATTATTTTTTTCTTTAATTCTTTCATTAATGAGAATTTAGACTTTTAGTTATATGCCTAAAGTATATTGTGTTTACATTTTTTTTTTCTGGCTATAAACAATGAGTATTAGCTTTTCTCGCATTAAATTAATGGGAATTTAGGCAGGAAATGTGTTTAAATGTCCAAAATAAGTTGTCAGTGCAAAGATGTCTTAAAAATAGGTTTCAATATAATATAATCTTTTTGGATGATTTTACGGTGAAATGTGACTCTCTGAGCTTTACTTTGTGAGATTCACCCAAAGTGACTTGAAAAAAAACAAGAAGCAGCTTAAAAGAAGTTAATTTTGTGCTGAATTTCAGGCCTTCCAGCTTCACTTCAGGTGAATTACCCCTTTAATACCTTTGAAAGGAAGTTCCTCCTTGGTTTTGTTCTGGTGCAGATGGCCTCATTGTTCCACAGAGAATCGTTTCTGCTTTTGTTGATGCTTTATTTGTTGGATTGTGGGATTGTTTTGCTTGGCTCGGAGCAGAAGCGTGTGGTTTAGAGCGTGACTCACTCGGGTCAAACCGGAGCGCTGATATCTGCTCGCTCATCCTCCATCTGTCCATGTCTCTGAGATGTGAGAAAAATCCGGACATCAATTAGAGCAATTAAGACATCTATAAAACAGGATGTGTGGAGTCTTATCTGCAAAGAGCCTTTTTATATCATGTATTAGTTTAAAAGCAGCTGCTGAATGTCTCAGGAGATTTCAAGTCAGCATGAAATTGGACTGTTTATGCTTTCTTAACGCACATTTCTGAACCGTGATTCATCATCATGCATGTTATTGCAAAGAACAAATCTCACATTACAGTAAATGTAGCTTCTGTTTCTGGGTCTCGGTGCTCATGGCTGAAATTAGACATTTGGGACCCTGGAGCACAAAACCAGTCATAAGGGTCAATTTTTTTAAAATTGAGATTTATGCATCATCTGAAAGCTGAATAAATAAGCTTTTCATTGATGTATGGTTTGTTAGGATCGGACAATATTTGAAAATCTGGAATCTGAGGGTGCAAAAAAATCTAAATATTGAGTAAATCATCTTTAAAGTTGTTCAAATGAAGTTCTTAGCAATGCGTATTACTAATCAAAAATTAAGTTTTGATATATTTACGGTAGGAAATTTACAAAATATCTTTATGGAACATGATCTTTACTTAATATCCTAATGATTTTTGGCATAAAAGAAAAATCTATAATTTTGACCCATACGATGTATTGTTGGCTATTGCTACAAATATCCCCCAGCGACTTAACACTGCTTTTGTGCTGCAGGGTCACATTTTGACATTGTCTGGTTTAAATTTGCTGGTCAGATTTGTAATGGAACATGGTGACGAGATGTGACTGTTCTGAGATCAGCTGCATTATGTGTGTTATTGACAGGATCAGCCTCAATGATTTCCCTCGTTTTATTTCTGTTTCTTCTTGTCTTTTCTGTCTTCTGTTCACATGCTGATTCTCTGTGCAGAGAAGCGGACGGATAAGTCGATGGTGTCGGGGGCCATCAGGCTGAAGATCAGCGTGGAGATGAAGGGAGAAGAGAAGGTGGCTCCTCCTCACGGACAGTACACATGTTTACACGAGGTACGTCTGACATCAGTATCACTGAAATACACTGCAGATATCACGTTCTTAATCAGAACTTTGTCTTGTTTTAAATATAAAATATTCATATTATATTATATAACTTATAAATATGATATTATATGAAAAAATATTAAACTAAATATTAAATTATATTATAAATATATACTGTATATTTATACAAAGCCTCACTAAATTTTGTTAGATATTTGTTTGCAGCAACAAAACCACCATTGGGTCAGAAAAGCATCAAATAAACTTAAAAACGTAAAACAAGTGTATTTGCATAATATGTAAATTTACTTTGTTTTAAGAATGTTTAGATTTGTTGTTTTTTTTTACTGTAAAACAGGACAAAAATGTATACAATTTAAAAAATGAAATATAAAAAAACTAAAACAATTTGGCTCTGTGTTGTGATATTTTGTCATTCAAATACATATAAGAAATTTTATAAATACCTCACTTTTATATTTAATAAAAGTGATATTTAGATTTAGTCATGCCATATATCATCTTACTGCATTAACTGTTATTTATTGCTATTATATTATATTATATTTAATAAAAGTGATATTTAAATTTAGTCATGTCATCACATATATCAAATATTATATTATATTATATTGTATATTACATTACATTACATTATATTATATTATATTATATTTAATAGCTAATTTATGTGAAACGTCAGTATGTCCAGCATATTGGAAAGTTAAAGATCTGCCAAAACGGAGAAATCAACACATATTTGTGTTGCATTATGAATAGCGCTTCAGAATCCAGCGATGTGTGAAATCGATCATGTGTAGCTGGAAGGGTTTGCGCTGATGTGTTTGTGTTAGTCTGGCTCACGTCTCGCTGGTTCTGTACCGCGGTGTTGTGGCATTTTTGCCGGTGTGATGACAGTAGGTTGGCGCCCCGAAATGTTGACCTTTCCAAGCTGACTGTGCTGTTGATGTCCCCCGACATTCATTCCATATCAATGCTGCAGCAGTTCATGCTCTCGAAACGCTTCCTGGCCCCTAAACGGCCGCCTGTTTCTGCGCAGAATCTCTTCCACTACCTGACGGAGGTGAAGAACAGCGGAGTCGTGAAGATCCCCGAGGTCAAAGGTGACGATGCCTGGAAGGTTTACTTCGACGACGTGTCGCAGGAGATCGTGGATGAGTTTGCCATGCGTTTCGGTGTGGAGTCCATCTACCAGGCCATGACGTGAGTGGAGGTCTCTCTCAGTTTCTGATAGGGGTGACACGGTACACGTATTTGTACAGAACATTTTCAGTACTGGTCTTTTGGTTCGGTACGCATGTGTACCGAACAATTCAGGGGGGGCAATAAACATAAAATTTCTCAAGAGCAATATTGAAGGGGACACAAATAATACAGCCAAAATTGTACTTGTAAGGATAGATATGTGTACACAGAATGGAAACCGTGTTTGAGATATGAGTTCATAGGTCCACCACGCGGTCATATGTGACACTGGAGCACAAAACCTTAAGTCGCTGGGGGATATTTGTAGCAATGGCCAAAAAACATTGTATAGGTCAAAATTATTGATTTTCCTTTTATGCCAAAAATCATTAGGATATTAAGTAAAGATCATGTTGCATGAAAATATTTTGTAAACTTCCTACTGTAAATATATCAAAACTTAATTTTTGATTAGTAATATGCATTGCTAAGAACTTCATTTGGACAACTTTAAAGATGATTTTCTCAATATTTAGATTTTTTTGCACCCTCAGATTCCAGATTTTCAAATAGTTGTATCACAGCCAAATATTGTCCGATCCTAATCAATGGAAAGCTTATTTATTCAGCTTTCAGATGATGTACGAATCTCAATTTCCAAAAATTGACCCTTATGACTGGTTTTGTGGTCCAGGGTCACATATTATAATTATTAAATTATTTTGCATCCTCCACATTGTATTTTAGGTTTCGTTTGGGGCTGAGGATGTCTCATATTTAGATATTCAACCGCAGCAAGCAGCACTTAACATCATATTGAGCAAAACCCAACACATCGGTGGATCTACTATATTAGCCTAATATCAGTTCACACACAAGCTTATCGCCGTGTTAATTGCAGTGGGTGACTTACCATCCAACAAGCTACATTATTAAACAAGCTAAGCTAGGTAACCTTAAAATCGCTCATAGAAAAATACATTGGATATCATAATTTTTTCATGCCTAATTTATTAATGATCCAGCATCATCTGTATTAAAGAGAAAAATTCACTTAATCTGATGTTTAAAGCGAATAAATCCTTGACAGCCTACTTACACATAACTACTGAAGAGCTTTTTTCTCTTGTGTGCATAACTACTGAAGAACTGTGTTCTCTCCACCGGACTCGTGTGTGTGTGTGTCGGTGAGGTAAAGGGGGAGAGCAGGCAGTGGACCAAACCACTGTGAGGCAAGGGAGGGGGATTCAAAACCTTTCTAAACTTAAAACACTTTTTTGCGTTTATATTGTTTTACTACTTACACAATTACGTTAAGAATATCTCCATTATATTATTTGCAATACACAGAGTGGTTTGTAATGATATTTTTATGGGGGACAACCCCCCGCGCGATTTACACCCCTGAATAAATGCCGTTTTGCTGCTCTTTGATGTGGCGCGACAGATCGCTTAATAGAAGCCTCAGTTCTAACTGATCTTTATTACTAGTTTTAAAGTGAAATAAACATGAATGAACATCTCATGTAATCGCTCAATCAGTGTTTCAGCCGCGGAAAGACGTCATTAAAACAGCTTGTAAACAAAATGTCACATAGCATTTCATTCACCTCAGGCAAGTCATCAGTGTCTCCGGCTCGTTTTTGCTAGAGAAATTGAGTCTAGAGAAGAGCGTTTTGAGAAATATTAGACTATATACTGATTTTTTTTTACCTTACCTGTTAGTGATGTATCAATTATTTAATGTGTGTGTGTGTGTGTGTGTGTGTGTGTGTGTGTGTGTGTGTGTGTGTGTGTGTGTGTGTGTGTGTGTGTGTGTGTGTGTGTGTGTGTGTGTGTGTGTGTGTGTGTGTGTGTGTGTGTGTGTGTGTGTGTGTGTGTGTGTGTGTGTGTGTGTGTGTGTGTGTGTGTGTGTGTGTCAATTATTTAATGTAATTATTGATTGTGTGTGTGTGTGTGTGTGTGTCAGTGAGGCAACTATATACTGATTATTTTTTACTTTACCTGTTAGTGATATCAATTTATCAATTTAATGTTTAAATAAATAAATATTTTATGAAACAAGTTATGACAGCCACTGTGTAAATAATTATATTTCAAAAACAAATAGAAATGGTATAATTTAGAAGAAAAAACTGCATTATGTGCATTATTAAAATTTTTAATTTGAGTGTTAATAATTATAGTTAAAAAATAAATAGTAAAAATATTTTTTGTCAAAACTGTGATACATTTTATTTTTCAGGATTCACAGATGAATGGAATTTTCAAGAGAACAGCATTTATGTGAAATAAAAATCGTCTGTAACATTACTGTCACTTTTGATCAATTTAATGTGTCCTTGCTGAATAAAAGCATTAATTTCTAACTAATTGAAAGTACATAAAACTTTTAAATGCTAGTGTGTTTACAGAATAAATGTATCGTGAGTTTGAGCATGCATATGAATGCCATACAGTTAGACGACAGACTCATCGCAGTTTTGCATCAGTTTTTCTAGTTTAAAGCTGATGAACATGTCGAGATGTTTTACTCATTCGGTTCAGGAGCTTCTCATGCTCAGAACACTGGCTGATACGGGCCATGTTTAACAGCTCAGAAAAAGGTCAGATTGAAGCAGAAAATCACAGTTGAAGAGTACGTGCAGTCATTCACCTCATGTTTCAGCAGAGCCTCTAAACGCTGACTGCTCGGGTTTACATGATTGCAATGCATAAGGAAGCGCGAACTTGACATTGTAATTTCATATTGCATACAAAAATATAGCTTTACCCTGCTTTGCACAGGCTCGAGCAGGGACCAGAATTGACTTTTTCACCAATTCTGCCAACAGTGGGTGAAGTGAGATAAAATGCATTATTTTTCCATTATTCTTTCACTGAAAAATATATTTTCAGTGCATATAACCGTGAGCTAATTTAGATGGGGTTATTTAGCTGTTGTTCACTTCTTGAGGTCATTGCATGATACAAAATGAGTCTGTCTTTGGCTTTTTGTGAAAATGCACCTGATAATGTGAGGAACTTATGTGTTACATGGGAGAAAAAAACACGTAAGGCATCCTGCAGTTTCCATTGCACATCATGACAGGATTTCATTAGTAGATGTTTTTTATGTCTTTACTTTTAATCGTGCACATCTCTGACTTCAACGATTAGCTTTTTAACAGTTTTTAACTGGCTAATTGGCAAAGACATCTTGGCACTTTATTGAGATCCTGCGTCTGAATACTTCTTGTTGTTCCAGAGAGATTTGCTGTTTGGTCGATCTCTGACTCTTAAAGCGTCCGTTGATTTGTTTTTCTGTTTTAGGATAATGGATATTGATTAATTCAATAAATGATAGTCTTCCAGCATTGAGTGTATGGTACTGACCCGCTGAATCAGGGGAACTGGACTTATTTATGCACTCCATACGGAAATCTGCTGTGCTTATGTATGAAAAATTGTAATGTACCTACTGAAGCTGATGCAAATGGTTTTTGCATGTGTATCTGTTGCATATGCATGTGGTAACGTCTTTAAATCTGATGAACGATATGTGGAAATTATCCACAGTTTCCAGTGGCTGCTTACGTTTGTATCGATGACCTTTCCTTGGCCCTGTAATAATAAACAAAGTCTTGTGACCTGTCCCTGATGTTATTAGAGATGCAGCCCGGATTTTCTACCATTCAGCATTTTTTATTGCTGAAGGGAGGATAATGATTTCAGGGTGAAATCTTCGGTCATCAGCAGCACGTTGGTTCGTAGGTTTACAGAACGTGAATCACAAATGAGATCCAGCCTGTTGAGAGCTTTCTGAAAGGAGATGAAGATTAAAAATAAGTCTTCTTCTCCTTTAAGAAAATCAATTGTATTATTTAATTTAATTTTATTTAATTTAATTTAATTTTATTTTATTTAAGTAAGTATATAAAGTTATATTTATTATAAAAGAATCATTTATTACAAAAAAACTGTATTTATTTATTTAATTCATTTTTTTATTTTATTTTAAAATAAGTATATAAGTTATATTTATTACAAGAAAATCATATTTATTTATTTATTTATTTTAATTATAAGTTATATTTATTACAAGAAAATCATATTTATTTATTTATTTATTTATTTTAATTATTTTATTTTAAAATAAATGTATAGGTTATATTTATTATATAAGTATTGTTTATTTTAAAAATATTTTATTTTATTTTAAAACAAGTATATAAAGTTATATCTATTATGTAAGTGTAATTTATTGCAAACAACAACAAAAACTCTGTTAGTTCTGAACTAAGCATTGTCTTTAGAAATGTGACTAGTAAGTAATTGAAGGATTTTGGTTCAGATTCTGATTTATCCTTTACAATTTCAGTGCCTTAATGATGAAATTAGATTTTTTTTTTTTTTTTTTAAAGAAGAATTAGTCAAAAATGCAGGACTTTTTATTGAACTGTTAAGTCATTATTAATTCATAATGACTTCAGATTTCATTGAAAAGTCAAGAATTAATTCAGCAAGCCATTAGACTGATTCAAAGATATAACTGTGCTGCAGATGAGAGATTTGTGAGTCTTTTAGCTTGATTCTTTCAAAAGAACCAGCACATAAGAGTCATTTATTTTCTAATCGGACTAAAACTGGTTTGTTGTTGAAGCAACCAGTGAAGATAATGCAATAGAAGTTTTGAGTTTTGCATTATTTTGTCTTACCTTTTCATTGCATTCAGTTAAGTCTGTAAAACTCAGATAAAATATAATTTAGTTTTCTCTGCCACTATAGATTTAATAGCTGCTCAGACATCCAAGAACCACTAACAGAACTGAAAAACATAAAATCGTTTTTTTTTTAAACAAACTTTTACAAGAACAATCCACCATTCTATAATGAAAACACAAATCCTGAGATTTTCCCAGTGATCTCAGGAGTAACTCATTACCAGATGATATCACAGATACTGACGTTGCGTGGGAATTTAAGACCTGTTTTGGAGGGAGGTGCGCAGAGGTTAAAGAGGACAGCAGATAGAGAGAGAGAAGACGAGTCAATAATTGTTGGCAAGTTTTATTTCTCTGATTTACAGCGGAGCTCTGCGGATCACTGGAGCAGCAAGACGAGGATTTTAAAGATGAGGAGCGAAAGGAAAGCAAGCTGTTACTAGGCAACAGGAAGTCAACACCCTCCATCAGATATCATTTATTCTGATTTAGCTCTCAGCATCTTTCAATCATAAAACGGGAGGAGGAAATATGGAGAGAAGAATGGATAACTCTTTACCTTTTCTTGGAGGCACAATAATTCTTCATTCCCCTGTGTGTCACGATGGGTCGTTCGGGCTCAGAGGTCGCGCCATCAGAACTAATGAGGTCCAAATCAATGTCTGCAGGTGCTAATGTGCGGTCTTGCGTCATTGCGGCTTACAGCTTCTGCTCACAGACTTACTAGGAGTTTAAATCAGGGAAAGTGAATGAGGAGGCTGTCAAACTCTAGAAATGGCAAAGTCAGTGGGTTTAAGTGAATGTGGCTTCAAACAGTGGCTTTGTTGTTATGTATTTAAGGTCACGCTAATTTACAGTCTGGAAGGATCGCTGGATTGTCATAAATCTGTGGCGGGACTGCGTGGAGGGATATGTGCTATAAAAGACGTTTTAAGAAATGAATTATGAAAGAAGAAGTGACATGATTGTTATAGACTTGACAGGCAGGGTTTATAATCAGGTCATACAATATGAGATTTACTTTAAAAATGTACTGCATAATAGATCATTACAGTGCATACAAGAGATGCTAAAGGGATTAACACAGATTTCAGAAGATGTTTTTCGTTAAAATGATATCTTAGTGTATTACATATTTGCCATGCAAATGTTCTGTTGGTCTCTTTGGCAGACACTGTTTTTGGCAAATTCTGCACATCCTGGGCCTAAAACTAACATAACAACTGCCAATGGCTGATGACATGAGAAAATTTACCAGACATATATAGTGATATTTCTATTGTTCTGTTTTGTATATTTTCTAACATTTTGAAATTTCAAATATGGGATCACATATTCATTATTAACTAAGAGAGTTTTTTCATCAGTAAACTCCTAATTTGCTGCTTATTAATAGTTAGTAATTTAGTTGTTATATTTAGGTATGGGGTGTATTAAGGATCTAAAATATAGTCATGCAGAATAAAGCATTAATATGTGATTTATAAGTACTAATACACAGACAATACACTAGTGATATGTATGCTAATAAGCAACTAGTAACTAGTGTCTTTATCTGTGTTGTTTGCATTTTCAGTTTCGTGGGATTCATGAAGAAAGGTTGTCTGTATAAAGGTATGTTTACACACGCTGTGCTGCGCTGTTGGTTGGTTTAAGTGGGTGTGGCTTCAGTCTGTAGGTCAGTTTAAGTGGGCGAGGCTTCGAACAGTGGGTTTGTGTTAAAGGGGTGTGTCTTCAAACTGTTGGTTGGTTTAAGTGGGTGTGGCTTCAGTCTGTAGGTCAGTTTAAGTGGGCGAGGCTTCGAACAGTGGGTTTGTGTTAAAAGGGTGTGTCTTCAAACTGTTGGTTGGTTTAAGTGGGTGTGGCTTCAGTCTGTAGGTCAGTTTAAGTGGGTGATGTTTCGAACAGTGGATTTGTGTTAAAGGGTTGTGGCTTCAAACTTTTGGTTGTTTTAATTGGTTGTGGCTTCAAACTTTTGGTTGTTTTAATTGGGTGTGGCTTCCAGCTGGGGTGATTTTTAGCGGGCGAGGCTTCAAACCATGGGTTGTTTATATGGGTGTGGCTTCAAATGGAGGGTGTGTTTTAGTCAGTGGGTTGGTTTAAGTGGGTGTGGCTTTAATCAGTGGGAATTATAGTGGTCTATCCCCAGTAAACAATGCTATAGTATTAATAATATAATATCATAATTTTAATTAATATTTAAATTTGTGCCTTTTTTATATTATACATACTTTATATATGCTATATCTACTTATATTAATTTTAATTTTAGCCTTTTTTTGTTATGTACTTTCATTTTTTTATATTTCTGTATAGCTTTAATTTATTTTTTATTTCAGTTTTAGTTTTAGTCATTTTACTACTTCAACTCATTTATTTCACCTAGTTGTCAAGGCAACATTTAAAGTCATTTTAAATTTAAACTTTTTCGTATTTATATATTTATATAGTTTATATATATTTATGTATTCATTTTTATTTTTTATTTTATTTCAGCTTTAGTTTAATTACAAAAAAGATATATATATATATATATTAGTGCTGTCAAATGATTAATCGCGATTAATTGCATCCAAAATAAAAGTTTTTGTTTACATAATATGTGCGTGTACTGTGTATATTTATTATGTATATATAAATACACACACATACAGTATATATTTTGAAAATATTTACATGTATTTACATGAATATATTTATATTAATAAAATCTATATTATATAGAAATATATTTAATATATAAACATAGCATATTTTTCTGAAATATATACATGCGTGTGTGTGTATTTACATATACATAATAAATATACACAGTACACACACGTATTATGTAAACAAAACTTTTATTTTGGATGTATTTAATCTTTTGACAGCTTTGTACTTTTGTGTGCTCAAAATATGTGGATTCAAGTGTGCAAATATGAACTTGCATATGCACAGATTTACGCGTACATTGTTTATTTATTTATTTTAATATATATCTTAAACGAATGGCTGTTGTTTGGTCTGTGTGCTGCTTAACTTCCAGCAGATTCATTTGTCATTACAGTCATTTGTCAGTAATTCATTCTGACATTTGTGTTTATTTGCTGCTTTATTTAGCCTATATAAATTATTTACATTCATAACTGATTATGTACCAAGAGGAGAAAGAGAAAAATGTGTTTATATGGAGCATCTATTTATGTGTAATGTTCAACAAAACAAATAGCACTGTTTTATATATGTGTGTGTGTGTGTGTGTGTGTGCAGTACACATGTGATACTGTATGCTGCGTTTCACTGTGTGTGTGTCTGTGCAGTACACATGTGATATGCTGTGTTTCACTGTGTGTGTGTGTGTGTGTGTGCAGTACACATGTGATACTGTATGCTGTGCTTCACTGTGTGTGCGTGCGTGTGTGTGTGTGTCTGTGTGTGTGTAGTACACATGTGATAATGTATGCTGCGTTTCACTGTGTGTGTATAAGCCCTGCAGGCCTGCCGTTATTTTTAGTCTATGTCTCTCTTCTTTCTTCTCCTATCTCTTTTTCTCTCTTAAATCTTTCTTTAATGAATCACCTCTAACAGTCTGCAATTTCCTGCTCTGCCCTGCGGCTCGACTCATGACAAATCTGTGTTGCGCTGTCTGTTCATTTTGACGATATAAGATGGATCATTAAGCTAATTTCATATGTGCATACAGTATCTCATATTAATAGTTTACATTTGTGACACATCCATAGTTAGTTTTTCCATATGATAAAGATGCTACAATGCCTTTGTCAGACGTTCAAAAATGTTTTTAGTTTGTGCTTTGCAGAAAGCCATGTCCCTTATCAGTATTTCCAGTAATAATATTCCGTGCAGTACAGAATCATCTGTGGGGCATTTAGGATAGGAATTCAGCTTGTATTCGCTTTTTGTTGTTGTTTTAATGTTGTTGCTCAAGGGAGGAAAATTCACAGGAATCTGATATGAAATATACATTATTATGGGTGTTCGGCTGCTCACAAGTGTGTATATGACTGAATCTGACATCTGTCTCTCTCTCTTTCAGGCATTTCTCATGTCTCTCATCCAAGTACATGTGTCCCGGCGTTCCCGCGGTGATGAGTAACCTGCTTGCCAACATCAACGCCTACTTCGCTCACACAACAACGGCAAACACCAACATCTCAGCCTCCGACCGATTCGCAGCATCCAACTTTGGGGTTTGTCACTCTCATTGCTGATAGATAGATGGATGGATGGATGGATGGATGGATGGATGGATGGATGGATGGATGGATGGATGGATGGATGGATGGATGGATGGATGGATGGATGGATGGATGGATGGATGGATGGATGGATGGATGGATGGATGGATGGATGGATGGATGGATTGGATAGATGATGGATGGATGGATGGATGGATGGATGGATGGATGGATGGATGGATGGATGGATAGATAGATAGATATATGGTTGATACATAGATGGAAAAATAGATGAATAGATGGATAGATATATGGATGGATAGATAGATAAATGGATATGTATATGGATGATGGATGGATAGTTATATGAATGGATAGAGGGATGGATAGATGAATGAATAGATAGATAGATGGATTAATTATTGAATGATGGATGTATGGATGGCTGATTGCATGAATGATAAGATGCATTGATTGTTAAATTGATGAAAGCATTGAACAACAAGCTGATGAATGAATAAATGAATGGATGAACAAACAGACCTACAGAAGCATGATTGCATGAGGGAATCAATGGATGATGTGCAGATGATTTCATGAATGCTTCAATAAATAGATGGATGACACGATGCAGCGCTGATCTGTTTCTGTGACTTTGTTTCTTCCGCAGAGAGAGAAGTTCGTCAAACTCTTGGATCAGCTTCACAACTCTCTGCGCATCGACCTCTCCAAGTATCGGGTGAGTAAAGCAGCCAAACACCACAGCACACACACGATCCAGATGCATTTTCTATTTCAGAGACATCAGAAAGAAAAACACTCATCTATTATTCATCGCCATGGAGATAATTTAACCTCTCCATCGCTTTTAGTGATCCCCTACCTTAATTTACAATGACATTCAAACGCTTTACGAGCTCTTCACAGAACAGAAGGTCTATTTGTTCGCATGCAAAGCAACAATTTGAGAAAGTTGCTAAGATTGTTCTTGACTCCCACTGCCCTTCTTGCTTTTATACTAATTGCGAAGTCTCTCTAAATACATAACGAGAGAAACGTCTCAGTCAGATGCAAGTTTCTTCTGAGAGGACGCTTTCACAGTCAGATCGCGTATGACTCTCGAGAAGACGAGTGGTCCGACTGTATCTCAGTGTGAGAGCTAGAAAGCATTGACAGGGTGCTCACACACACACACACACACACACTCGACTGGCAGGCATCCAGGGAATTCATTGGCTGTTACCTGCTCCTATCCAGCCGTCAGCTTTCAGGCAACACGTCCTGACTGTAATACACTCTGGATCTGCTGGGCTCTGTGGATTGACTGTAATGAAATTCTGAAGCAAACTGAGTTTGGTTTCTCTCACAGCTCGTGTGGATTTGGCCAAGGCAGGTTTTGTTCTTCCAGAGTGCTTTAACGCCTCTGCTTTATTAGATGAATTTTCTCCTGTGTTGTCTACATCATCTGTGTTCAATAAACCTCAGGCAGACTTCTCTCCTCGCCACTCGTACAGGATTATATGTTTCTCCAGACGCCACCGAACTCAAACGCTAGACGTTTCTGCTCAATCTGGCCCCGTTCCACATGCTTTCAAAACAACTACTCTATCATAGCCAAAAAACAGATCTATCTAGACTTGAAGTGCAACAGTTTATTTTAACCGTCTGTCTGAAATCAAACAAGTTTATTTACAAATATCATAACTATCGTCCAAAAGTTTGAGGTCTTTAAGATTTTTAATGTTTTTGACTCTTATGCTCACCAAGGCTGCATTGATTTGATCAGAAATACAGTAAAAAATCTGTGAAATATTATTGCAATTTAAAATAGTTGTTTTCTATGTGAATATATGTTAAAATGTAATTTATTTCTGTGATCAAAGCTGAATTTCCAGCATAATTACTCCAGTCTTCAGCGTCACATGATCTTCAGAAATCAGTTATCAATGTTGAAAACAGTTGTGCTGCCCAATATTTATGTAGAAAACCTTGATACATTTTATTTTTCAGGATTCACAGATGAATAGAAAGCTAAAATGATCCTGAATGTGGTTGAATAAATATGATATTCACATGTTATAATACTTGTAAGTAAATTAAAATAATAATAAATTTTTCTAAAAATTATTTTAATTATAGTTTTAATGTTTTGTGCGTTTTGTCATTTTTAACAGTTTATATATATTATGTATATTGTTTTATATATTTTATTTCGGAGTTAGTTTTAGTTATTTTATTTCAAAAAAGTCAAAAATAAATTAAATTAGAATGAGATGTAGCCTTGGAAACTAGCTAAAATAATGCATACAATTCTTTTACAGTTAACATTTATTTTATTTCACGCAACAAACTGTTTTTATGGTTTTATTTTTAGTTTCAGTATTAGTTAACTAATAACCCTGGTAGACAACACAGCTGCAAATGGTATAAATTCAGAGCCCTGCACAGATCTTCAGACGTTCTGATGGTTCCTCATCAAAACCCTCTCCTGTGATTCAGACCCACTGCTGACACTCACAGTTTAATGATCTCTTACCTGAGCAATCTGTTACCGACACACCGACCTGCCTGAAGCCCAAACATATGTTTATATCTCTCTGCTTTTCTGATATTTCACGTCACTCAAGAGCTTCTGCACACGTATTCGTCACCTCAAACAGCCACAGAGACTTTCCGAGTGAAGCAAAGTGTAATTTTAGTGATGTTATATGAAGTCTTTACTGGCACACTTCATTTCACACTAGAGCGTTTGAAGCAGACCAGAGTATGTTTTCATGTAAACTCATGCGGTTTGTAGTTAGTATGAAAATGAGCTGTCCTTATGTGCAGAAGTAAAGCTGTGTTGGTGGCATAGAATTTGAATCTTTACATTCTCCCAATCATATTTATAACATGATGCATTTCTCAAACCTGCTTGTATCCGAATAAACTGCCTGCTGGTTGCAGCTGGCATTTGTTGCATATTTTGCAATGCAAGACAAATGCAAGAGCTGTGTTTTGGGAGTGAATCCAAAGAGACAAATGTACTCCCAAAAAAACAAAAACATATAGATGAATAGATGGACATATATATGGGTGGATAAATGGATGGATAGATAGATATATGGATGGATAGATAGATATATGGATGGATGGCTACTGTATATGGATAGATAAATGAATAGATATATGGATGATGGACGGATGGATATATGGATGGAGAGATGAACAGATAGACAGATAGATAGATAGATAGATAGATAGATAGATAGATAGATAGATAGATAGATAGATAGATAGATAGATAGATAAATGAATAGATATATGGATGATGGATGGATGGATATATGGATGGAGAGATGAATAGCTAGATAGATAGATAGATAGATAGATAGATAGATAGATAGATAGATAGATAGATAGATAATTGTTATTATTATTCAAGTGTTCCAGTAAATCTCACTAAATATGTGCTTAAAACTAGAGAAAAACAATTGGCAAATAGGGTGTAAAAATAGTTATTAAATTAAAAGTAAAAAACTGCTTCCAAAATTACTGATCAAAAATGCAGTAAAAAAATGGTAACAATGTGAAATATTATTATGTTTTTGGCTTGAATGTGTTTTAAAATGTTATTTTTTCCTGTGATACAAAGCTGAATTTCCAGCAGTTATTACTCCAGTCTTCAGTTTCACATTTATTAATAAATTGCCTGCAGGTCCAAAGAGACGGACGTGAGCAAATAAGTAAATGAATGAAGTCTTGTTTCTAGTAAACCTCACTAAATATTTTTGATTCTCTACTTAAAACTAGAAAAAAAAACTATTTGCCAACAGGCTGTAGATATCTTGCTTTAATATATATATATAAATATATAATCTGAGAACAAGAGTGTTGTTTTAATGTATCTTGTTTTGAGGATATTTACATATTTTTAAAGAAAAACAAGACCAAAATCCAGAACTCGGGGAGGTACAAACCCAAAAAATACTGTGCGAAGTGACCTGCGGTGACAGAGGGAGGGATGTGGAATCAAAGCGAGTCTGAAAACAGCCTAAATTGATTTGCGCGGGTCTCTGTTTTTGGTGGCTGTTGTTGACAAACAGCCCCTGCACTCCATTACTCGCTCTGAATAATTAGAGAGCTGCGATGAAACACCAGCCAAGAATTACAGCAGCGTCCGACGGGAGTCTCTCCTCATTCTTACAAAACCAAGTCACAACTATTACATAACCATCCCGGCGTGACATTTTCTAACCTGTTTCTCCGAGCGCATCTTTTGCACACATCCGCAGCGTCCACACATGCATGCTCTTCCACTCATGCAATATACTGTGCACCTTCATGCTAGAACAAGCAGGCTCATAGCTTTACAGCCCAACAACACGTTTTCTCTGTCTGTTGCTGGTTTTGCTCGGGCTGCTAAATTATGATATATTTTGTTATTGGTGCTCATGACGATGGAACACATTTTGGTTATTAATATTGCTGCATAGTGCATGCTGCATAATGCTGCAGGGTGAATGAAGATGACTCATGTTGACATGTTTTTAACCATCCATCTCTGCCAAACCTCCTCAACTTGAGTAAAAGGCCATTTGAAATATTAGCAGGTGAAGCACCCACCATCTGTAATGTTTCAAACAGCAATTCTTTAAGACTTCCACAATTGTGTTGATTAGAAATATAATAATTGACTCAGTAACACTATATTTAAAGACTTAAGTAAAAATAGTTTTAATGCATTAATATTCCCATGTAATGTACCTTGTAATGCACTTTATAATATCATGAATAATTGTTATAATACTTATCTATTCCTTGTTACACCTTTAGAAAGTACAGTATGATGCATTAAAACATGACAAAGAAAATCCTTCAAATATTACAATGCATTTTAACTTTGGTTACAATTATTTATGAAATGACAACATTACATTATGAATAGCCGTATAATGCATTATACATAAAGGCTTTAAGTAAAGTGTTGCCTTTGACTCTTAAACCTAGTATTTATGTCTGCTATATGCTGTTTTTATGCTTATTAGAATATTGCATTGTCAGCTTAGCAACATCAGATTCTAAACTATAAAAAATATCCACCTAATTCAACTATAAAACTTCAGTTGGTGCTTTTCAGTTTTTAGGTATAATCAAATTGTCTGTACGAGTCGTTTCAGCTCATTCTTTTTAAAAATCTTGTCTAGTTGAATCTTGTATAACTTACAAAAAATTACGTTGAAATCGGTTAAATTATTTTGATGTGTTAAAGAAATGGGAAAAAAACCCAGACGTCAGGATTTATTGATTCTATATTTTTTAGACTTATTGATCACATCAGTTTTTGCATTGTATATTAGAATCAACTGGAATCAATCTATAGCCACAAAGATCTTAATTTGGATCTTTGTGTAATTTAAAAAGTGCAAACAACATATTTTGCCTAACTATTCCATCCTACTGAGCTAATGTGCGGTTTCCATCTTTCCATCTGTCTCTTAAACATATATATTCATCAAATCCATAGCTGCATCTATAATCTTAATCTGTTTATCTTCTTTGTTAGATATGCTCTGAAAATGACGTAGAAATGTAGAGATGATCTGATGTTAATTCTGTTTACAGGATAATTTCCCTGCTGGGAATCCAGAGAGACTCCAGGACTTGAAATCAACCGTCGACCTGCTGACGAGCATCACCTTCTTCAGGATGAAGGTATGACGCTGTCTAACACACACACACACACACACACACACACACACACACACACACACACACACACACACATACACACAGAGAGGACTATGCAGCCTTATACTTTCGCATAAAAAGCGC